AAATAATTCACTGGAAAAATTTCCTTGAAAAGTGGTTGTTCCTGTTTCGTTGTTAGCAGTAATGTTGATAATAGTTGCTTTGGTAGTAATTAGAAAAAGAAAAAGAATTAGCCAAATTACGAAAGCAAAATCCAAAACGACTAACTAATACTGAAAAAAATAATAGCAAATTAAATTGAATCATTGCCTTGGGAATTGCTGCTAGTTTTTATTTATTATGTTTTATTCTTTTATTGTTATTGAGAAATAAGAAAAACCATTGACTCAATTATCAATGGAAACCAAAAGTTAAAAAATTTATGATTAATATTAATAGAGGAATTGATATTTAGTGCAGATTAGTAATTATATAGTAGTATGACTGGAATTGTTTTTAGACCCGAAGAAGTGCGAGAAATTAATTTTTGAATGGCGGATCAGCCTGGTGGCAGCATAGGCTAGTCCGTCTGGTAGTCCGGCACTGAAAAGTTAATCCATTTCTTTAAAATAATTTTATGCTCGTCTCTCTTCAGAAAAGATTTTCCCTCTACTCCTGATTACTAAAAAAACTCCGATCAGAATTAATTATCTGATATTTTTTTACTTTTGTTTCTTCCTTTTTTTATTATCAATCGGTTTTTAGCCTGAAAAGATGGGGTCATGAAAGCACAAAATTTCCTATCTCTTTTTTTTTCAAAACTGTTGCTATTAGAACCCGAAGTGGTTTGCTTTTCTATGCTCTTTTCTGTTTTTTTATCGGCAATTTGCTAACTAATCTGATTTATGATTATTTAAAAAATTACACTCTTGAGTTATGTCGGGCTCATTTGCGAAAGTTGCTAATTAGACGCAGCGCTAAAAATCTGTCAAAAGCCCGCCTTCACCAGAAAGAAATATTGGGTAATTTTTGGGGAGAAGCAGAATTATTTGTTCCTCTTTTTATTCTTGTGCCCCACCGAATATATTCGGCAATCGTTAATACTATTTTAATTCTCATTTTTGTAGCCAGTTTTAGAGGTAGTGAGTTTGCTGTTTCCTTTGTTATAATTGTGTCGTTAATTTTGGCCTTTTTGAGTTTTTTTGTTTATCAAATTCAAAAAAAGATTAACCGGCAGCAGAATAATTTTCGCCAGCAAGAAAACCAAGCCGCAGAAAAATATTTAGAAAATCCCTCTGAGCCACAAAAAGTCGAAAAATTAATTGATTCTAATTTGCAAAAAAGCCGCTTTTCTCTAAAAAAAAAAACTCTTTCTTATTTGCCTAATTTAATTATTCCGGGACTCAGTGTTCTTTTTTGTTTTATTTTTGTAGCCATCCGAGGGACCAATTGAGAAACGACCGAATTTGTGGACGTTGGTCTAATTGCTGGCTCTATCCAAATGATATTTTGAAAAGTGAAAGAGATAACCGATAATTCGTTAGAAATTAGCAAAATCAAGGTTCACCATAAATCTTTACAAAAGGTGCTGCATAAATTATCAAAGATAGAACCCAAAAAAAGAAAAAAGTTATAACAACAATAATAATAATTACAAAATGAATAATTTGCTAAAAAAGTATTGATTTTTGTGGTAAAATCAACGAACAAAAAAATGGAAAGGTTAAATACTGAAAATTGAGGAGTTGAATATGTAGTAAGCGGTAAATCTGACATTATCCTTAGTTTTGATGAAAAATGAGTTTTGCCCGTGGTAAGTAAAGAAAAAACCTATGATTTTAGAAGATACAAACTTCACCCCGAAACTAAAAGAATGTGATTTTATGTTAATCAGCCCGTTT